CAGGGTGAGGACTGGTTAATGATGGTGTCCTAACACAACACTGGTAATCTATCTGGAATGTCTGAGGTCCCACCAGAAGACAGACCAGGCAATATGACAACATAAAGCTTGCTCCTAGGGGAAAGGAGTGAGCCCTCTTCCAAACTATTTGTCAACAAGATGGGATAACTGTAACAGCAGTCTAAATGCTGTCTTTGTCTCTGGCTTGTGAGCCTCATCAGTGCAACGTCACACCTGATGCCCCCAGCACCAGAAAGCAGAGCAATCCAGGAGCTGAGCTCAGAAGAAACAGGGTCCCTTCATGCCTCCAGGGGAGCTCAGGGTGCAGTTGCTGAGCTCTCAGGCCAGGTGCCTGACTTGATTGAGATGCATTTGCAGAGCAGACAGTTGGTGCTTTTTGCAGGCCCCACTGCTCACTAGTGCTGACCTGAGTTCAGTTTATTAACTGACAGTTGTTTAATTGCTGTCAGATGGCTTCCCTGGGGAGTACTGCTCAATTTAATGTGGCATCTGTTTTCAATAAACAGGACTCTTGTGAGGGAGAAGGTTGCGCACTGGGTCCAAAATTGTGCCCTTTGCTGTGCTTTGGCTGATGGATGCTAATCATCTGAGCGCTATGCAAGGCTGGGGAGCTCAGCATTCTCTCCTGGTGCCAGCATGGATTAAGAAATGTCCTTTCAGGCCAGGCCAGTGACATAAAGGTTATTCTTGGGTAGAAGATACAAGAATTCAGAGACCCAGTGGATCACAATAGCCATGAACGGGACCTTGCATGAACTGATGGATAACTGGAACTAGATGCTTCTGACTAGACTTGGAAGTTCTGTTTCCTTCTGTGCTCCTGCCTTTCTGTCTGACCTCAGGCATGGCACTTCACTGTTATTACAGTTCATATTACGGCAATGCATTATTGGTTGTCATCAGGGTTCTTTTACTGATTGTGCCAAGCACCTGGCACAAGTCGGTTCTTAACAGGACTGTGCTTTATTTTCCCCATTTGTAGAATGGCCTGAACGGTGCAGCTCCTCTGCCTAGTTGTGAAGTGCTTTGAGAACTCCTGATAAAAACATATGTTAGGGGCAAATTATTTTTCCCAAGGTGCTGAAACAGCAAACCTTGAACCCTCATTTCAGTGGGAAGGAACTGAAAGGTTATTCCCCATAGTGTGAAGAATATAAAAATATTTGCAGGGATAAGGCTAAGGGAAGCAAAGGGTAAAAGAGATGCTTATAATTACATCCAGCTTAGTGGACTGCATTATTGAATGACCACATATATCCCGGCACTCTCACATACATATGTGCAGAATCATATTCAGAGATTTTTCTAAGGCAATTCAAAAATGTAGCTGTATGACTTCCATTGAAAGGAATGTGTTATACACCCAGCTCCCTGCTTGGTTTTCAAAATCTCAATAATACATGCCTATGTTATATTCTATCTACATTGTTCACAGATTCACAGAAGTTTAGGGCTGGAAGGGACCTCGTGTGATCATTAGGTCCAGCCCCCCAACTCTGGGCAAGAAAGACTGCTGGGGTCAAATAACCCCAGCATGGTGTGTGTCCAGTCTCCTTTTGAAGATCTCCAGGGTAGGTGCTTGCACCACCCCTGTTGGGAGTCTGTTCTATAGTCTGGTCACATGAACCGTGAAGTTTTTCCTTATAGCCAGTCTGAAACTTTCTTGTAGGAGTTTATGACCATTGCTCCTAGTTTTCTCCTGGGGCGCTTTGGTGAATAGTTGTTCGCCTCGCCCCTGCTGCTCTCCCCTAATATATTTGTAAACTGCCACCAAATCCCCCTGAAGTCTTCTCTTTTCTAGGCTGAACAGTCCTGTATCTGTCAGCCTTTCCTCGTATGGCTTGCTCTTCAGGCCTCTAATCATACGAGTGGCTCTTCTCTGGACTCTCTCAAGCTTCTCCACATCCTTCTTGAAGTGTGGCACCCAGAAGTGGATGCAGTACTCCAGCTGCAGCTTCACCAATGCCGAGTGGGAGAATAGCTTCCTTAGTTTTGCTTGAGGTACATTGGTTGATGTGTGCCAGAGTATCGTTTGCTCTGCTAACTGTAGCATCACACTGGTGGTTCATATTCGTTTTATGGTCAATTATGACCCCCAGGTCCCTTTCAGACATGATGCTCGCTAGCATAGCACCACTGAGCCTGTAAGTTTGTTACAAATTTTTCCTCCCCAGATGGAGCACTTTACACTTCTCAGTGTTGAACAGCATCTAGTTCTGGTCCATCCATCTAACTAATCTGTCTAGGTCTGCCTGGATCGTCAGCCTACCCTGATGCGTGGCTATACTTCCCAGAGCTTAGTGTCATCGGTGAACTTGGTCAGTGTGCTTTTCACCCCCACATCCAGATCGTTGATGAAGATGCTGAAAAGCACCGGTCCAAGTACCGAACCCTGAGGGACCCCGCTGGCTGCCTTCCATCAGGTTGACACAGATCCATCTATTAGTACTCTCTGGGTACAACCCTGCAACCAGTTTCTTACCCATCTGACCCTTGAGTTGTTGGGCCCATAGTACCTTAGTTTTACCTTGAGAGTCTCATGGGACACCAAATCAAAGGCCTTCCTAAAGTCCAAGTAAATAATGTCGACCTCATCTCCCTTATCCAGGTGGTGAGTAACTTGGTCGTAAAAAGAGATAAGGCTAGTCAGACATGACCTACCCATGACAAAACCGTGCTGGCTGTTATTCAGAAGTTTGCCTTCTACTAGCTTATCGCATATGGACTCCTTGAGAAATTTTTTGAGGATTTTTCCTGGGGTTGAGGTCAGGCTGTAATTCCCTGGGTCCTCTCTCCTTCCCTTCTAGAAGATGGGCACAGTATTCCAGTCTTCTGGGACCTCTCCTGAGCACCAGGAATTCTCAAAGAGGTTTACCGGAGGTCCTGCAATGACTTCAGCTAGTTCACTGGTTGTCAAGCACAGGTACATGTACCTCTGGGGTGCTCAAAAAGGTCATAGGCATATGCGGGGGAGGAAGGGGGGGCTCCTGCCACTGCGCACACCCCAGGGGAGGCCCGGGGCTTATGCCCCACCAATATGTGTACAGGGCGGAGATGGCTGCCACTGCGTAGTGGGATTTGTGCACTGTTGCAGCTGCCCTGGGAGCGGCACAATGCCACATGCCTGCCACTGCTGGGCTGCACTGCACCCCCTGCCCGCCCAGCTGCAGGATGCACATGGCGTCATACTACTCCCAGGGCAGATGCAGCAGCATGCAAATCCCAGCATGCAGCGGCAGCTGCCTCCACCCTGCACACAGATTGGGGGGCCCAGGCCTCTATTGGGGTGCATGCAGTGGCAGGGGGCCCCCCCCCCCCCCGTGCCCCTGGATGAGCCACCCAGGCTCCAATTGTCCCACAACCCAATCCAGCCGGGGCCCCATTCACCCCAGCCCCTGCTGCTGTCTGTGTCCCACTCCCTCCCTCACCATAGGGGCCTCAATTTGCTGCCCCCCACCCCAGCCCTTTCCCCTCCTCCAGACTTACCTGCTGGAGGTGCTGTTGGGGGGACACATGCATGCATGCACATGCTCAGCCCCCCCCAATCATTTTAATATAAAGGAGTACATGAGCTGAAACTTTGAGACAGAAGGGGTAGACTTGTTAAAAAAGGTTGAAAACCCTTGAACTAGTATGTTCAGCACTCTCTGATGGAGTTCATCTGGTCCTGCTGACTTATAGATATCCAGCCTATCTAGCTGTTCTTTCACCAGCGCTATATTGACTGTTGTTAGGTCATCGTCCCTACTGTGACTATTCTGTGTCATATTTGCATTCAGCAGGCTATCCCTCTTAGACTGGTGGGGAATACAGATGCGCAGTACTCATTCAGGAGTTCAGTTTTCTCCTTGGTGTCGGTGATCAGATGTCCAGATGCATTGAGCAGTGGTCCCACATTTCCACTGGTTTTCCTCCTGCTAATAAAACCAAACATATCACCCCAGACTCCTTCCTTCTCTCCCCACTTTTCACATATAATAGAACTTATTTCCTTGATTCCCTTCTTTCTCTGGACAGTTCTGCTCCATTTAGGCTGCCTACAGATTTCCATTTTGTAATACAGTGCCTTATTACTCCATAGAGGAGGCACAGAAAAGTCTTTTCTGCGTTTTGCTTGTGTTTCTTGTGTCCCTCTGTACAAAGCTCTTTGGATACATGGGGAGAGGAAAACTATTTGGTCAAACTGTTCTTTCTTTTGTCTCTGACTACTATATTATTTGTCAGCATTGGCAGAACAGTTGCCTGAAACCCCAGGGTATCTTTTTTTCTTTCTCATGGATCTAGCATGTGCTGGGCAGAGTCTTCCATGACATCAATGCAAATTTTCAGGCCATTTACTGAAGTTGGTGGAGTGACTCTAGAATTGCACCAGCGCAACAGATGAGCATCTAGCCTTTTATTCTTTTTGCCCCTATTCTTCCTTCTGTTGCAGGGCCTGATCCTATTGCTGTTAATGCCCAAGGTGCAGAACCATGTGGCAATTCCCAATACAGATTGTCACTAGATAAAGTTTTAGCCATCCCTCTCATGTGAAATTTCAGTATGTTGGTTAAAGTAAAGATCAGGTAGCACTGGGAGAAAAAAGGGCAGCTACTGTGCAAGTTTTGTTCACACTGCTTTCCTGATACAGTTCAGTCAGGACAGAAGTTAATCTCCCTGTCACTTCCACTGCGGGACCATTCCATGAACAGTTTGACCTGTGCCTCATATCTAGAGCTTTGCGCTGTAGCCCAACAACTAATAGGGACAAAAGGGAAGCCAATAATTTTGTCTCCACCTGTTATTTGTTTAAATAGGATTAAAATCCTGTTTAAATTCTGCCCTGAAATAACCACAGCATAGACCCCAAGGTTCAGGACTCTGCCCTGAAGAGACGAAGCGAGGCCTTGTAACCTTAAGCCAGTGATATATAGTCACTGGAAGCAAAGTTGAAATGGCATCTCAGTAACACGTTTGCTCTTAATTCTTTGTCTTCTCAGGAGGGAGAATAAACTGCGGATCCAGAATGGCTGGCTGTGCCACCTGGCCCCAGAAATCATCCGCCAGCTCTCGCCTGATACGGAAGAGGACAAGCTGCCCTTCTCCAAGCACTCAGATGTTTTTGCACTTGGGTAAGTCCGGTTGAGTGTGGTGGGCTGGGGGTGGTATTTCTGCCTGTGGAAAAGCCAGCAGGGTAGCTGGACTCTGCTGTGCTCTGGTGTGGCTGTGACTGTCTAGGGTGAAGAGAGGAAATGGAAATAGAACCAAAGGAATTTATTTTATGGCAGCAGGAGTTAAATAACTCAGCTGGCCTCCCACACTGACATTAATTATGTGGAACTAAGTGAAACAAGTGTGCTGGGCTGCCGGGAATTCCTCACTGTGGGGGGCACCTACTTGTCTGTGAAATGATCCTGCAGTGCAGCAAAGCTTGCAGATTCCTGTGGGCCAGGGAGCCCACACCTTGGCAGTTCTCTGCCTGGGAGCATGGATCTAGATCTTGGGGAAAAGCTGGGAGAATAGCTGGATTGGGTCAGTGAGTCTGTCTGCTAACTGCATGGACAACCCTTGCTATCACCTCCGGGTTGGAAGAGGTGCAGAGGACTGTTGCCTCTGCTGTTCCCTTTGGATCGCAGTGCCATTTACCCGGAATCCTGGGCGTCCGTCAGTCAGAAGGATTCTCCCTCCCTTGCCACTGTGTGGTGCGAGAGATGAGACGCCCCCACGCTAGCTGAAATGCTGAAAGGAATGCCAAAGCAGTCTCATAAATTAGAGATGCTTCCATACTGTTTTATCAACTGGACTCGATTTCCAAGGCTGACCCTTGTCTCTAAGGCACAGAATTGAAACTTCTAGTCTGAACACTGTCCTTCTTCCTTGGGCAAATTCTAATTCATAACCCAAATTCTGGATTTTCTGGTACAGACTGACACCAATTCTGAGAAACTAGATACACCTTTTGCTCTGGATTTTGGTTTGGGCTCCCTTAAATACTTTGGAAGCTAGGTTGACTGTGTGTGTTGAGCAGGACATGAGAGCCCATAAAAAGTCTACATCTTGAAGTTCTCCAAGATGTTGTCTTCAGCGCTAGATTGTTTAGAATGATTTAAAATTATTACAAGTTTGCTGTAAAACTGGGAGTCTTAGGAGAAGGGAACACTTGAGTATCTGAGAACACAATAAATGATGGATTTCCTCCAGTATGTGTGCTTAGTGAACCAGTTAATCATTCATGCTATTTATCTAAAAGGAAACATCCTTAATGACAGGGGCCCAATCATTCCTACGATAAAATCTTTCTTGAGGCAGACAGAGGGCTATAGGTTTTATCTGCTGGATTAATTTTCTTGCATGCTGTATTGATGGACATTTTAAGGACTGCAGTGTGTGGTGATTAGTTTCTGCAAAGCCATTATCTGATGAGATATTTCCATCAAAAAATACAGTAATTAAACCAGGCTGATTTTAGTATAATTTAACACCAAAAAATATATTAATGAAGGATCTTATCAAGCTAAGCGAAAGCCATTTGCTAGGGCTTAACATTTTTATTGGGGAAGCTTGCTTAAAGTGATAGCCAGTTTCATTAGAAAGTTTTCAAGTTTGGTTTTTCCTGACTTGTAATATCCTCTGGGAAGCTTGGACATGCCGGGCTGGTTCTTCAGCGTGGTGTATATTGACTTTGGTCAACATTTCCTGATTAACTGCAGCTAATATCTGACTTACACATTCTTTCCCCTGTGGGTTTTGGGATCCAATCTTTTGCAAGGGCAAAAAGTGGCAGCAAGCGAATGTGTTCTCAGGCCTCGTGAAGGCAACTGCTCCCAACCTTATAACTTTCTCTCCCCTTTCTGCTCCCTTCTGCCCACCATAATGGAGGGTAGCACCAGTCCTCCATTTGGTGAACATCAAAATACAGATCTTCAGATGGGGTCAACTGTTATCGTCTTATTGTTTTCATTGGAGCTTGACAGCTGATGCCAGGAGAAGCTTTGGGTTTTGCTCAGTTTCTAGTTCATTAGAAGTTTTTGTTGGTCTGCAAAGAATTGACTGACATGCAGTAAGAGACTACCAGGATTTATGAAAAGCACGATCGTGGCCCCCTTTCCCTAGGCTATTGGGAATGGGGTAGTACAGGCACTGTTATGTTAGTGCTGTATCGTTTCTCTCTAGAGCTCTTCTTTGGGGCCACATAAGGTTGACCTAAGGGCTGCCCAGTGATATAAGTTCTTTGCTGTGTAGCTCAGGATCTAGACCTTAATCACTTGGAAAAGAACATGGTGTAGAAAAAGTTTTATGGAGAAGCAAGCTGAATAAAAATGTAATTAAGACCTTGGTTAGCAGAAGTTCTTAATTAAAGAGGAGGAAAAATAAGGAATGAAATCAGTCAACTTAGCAAAGTCAAGTGTCAAAAACCAAAGGGTTCCCATCAGCTCCTCATTGGTAATTATCATATCATATATGTTCAGCCTTATATAGTGAAAGGAATAATTGAGCTACAAAATACAAATTAATTAAAGTTGGCTGTAGCCATCAAAATAACAAAGGCAACTGGAAGGTATATCCAGGAGGTGAAAAGAAAACTCGGGAATATGAGTTGGCAGAAAAGTCCCCCTGAAAATTCTCCCTGGAAGGTGGATGGTCTGCCTGTTCAGGAAGGTGGGGAGTTGTGAGCATCGGATCTGAAAACTACTTTGCATCACTGGAGTCATAACACATGAATCCCTGACCATCAGCATCGACTCTCAGCGAAGCTGCAGGGAGTGCAGCTGCCTGTTTGACCAGCGGTGGGCAAAATGCAGCCTGTGGGCAAAATTCAGCCCACCAGGCCATTCTATATGGCCCACAGGGCCCCTAAAAATTTAGAAAATAAGTATTTATCTGCCCTGTCATGCGGCCCTCGATGGCTTGCCAAAACTCAGTAAGTGGCCCTCCACCTGAAATAATTGCCTGCTTCTGTGTTAGACACTATCTTCCCCCGTGTGAGATTCAGTACCTGAGCTCAGAGAAGGGAGCTTGTTTGTGTTTGCAATCCATGTTGTGCACAGAAAGCCCAGAAACAACCCACATATGACAACACCAGACCCATCTTAGTTCAGCATGCTGGCTTTCCAGTCCTTGCAGAGCAAAAGTGGGAATGTAAGTTCAACTCACTAATTTGAGGCATGTTGGTTTTTAGGTGTCCAGCACGGTACACCTGGGCCAAATTGTCAACAGCAGTGCAGCATTTGGTCTTCCTGCTGGTTTCAATCAGAACTGTGGGTCCTCAACACCCTAAAAACCGAGCATGTCAGGCTTAGTGCCTGAAAACAGAGGCATCAAAAAATGAGGGAGGACAATGTTTAAAAAAATCAAGCTTTTGATATATTGTGCTGTTTAGTCAAAGCATCTCACATAAGCTGCTGACAGATGTAAAAAAAACACAAAAACAAACTGTTTTACTGGAAGAAGCAGCGTGGTTACTTCGACCCGGCTCCGCTGTGTCTGTATAGCTCAGGCATTTCAGCAAGGCTTTATGGTTCTTTTATCTAATAGCCGATTCAATCAGCTATTAGATAAAAGCGCCAAAATAGCTCCACTAAATCACCCAATCTATACAGATGTTAGGCGAACTGGGTCCAGTTAACATAATGCCTCTTCTTGGTGGCTGCTGGGCTTGGGGCAGGGATGCACCAAGGT